TGCAGAAAAAGTGGTTTTGCTGTTTCTGAATAGAAAGACGATCGAGGGAACAAGAAAGAGAGGCAGCTTATCGGCCGGTGGGCGGGCAATCTATATATCTAGAGGCGATATGGGAGTGTGAGCTGTTCTTCGTTTTTCACTACAATCATGTATAGTATTTATACATTACACACACATAATTTCACTGCCAAAATTCCAACTTTTGTACTGATTGATTGATTGATTGTTAGCTCATGAATGAACAAAAAAAAGCTAAGGGAGATCAGATAGTTGTTCTCATACCGCCTTCAAACCGATTTAAGACACTCATTTTCTTACTTTCTTTTTAAGGGCATGTGTTAGAATCCCACACGAGAAAACTTGGAAAACTTTGAATCAACCTAATATGAAGAGTAACCCATATCTTAATATAGCACTTTATTGATTCAAAGTTTTCGATGTAGGATTCTATCAGTATGGCTTGCTTTTAATAGGTTTTTTCCATGAAGTAAATAAAACTATTTTTTCCATGAAGTAAATAAAACTACTCGTTACTTTTATTAATCATGGGTGGGCGCGCCTTAATCAAGTCATAATCGAGATAATTCTGAATACAAAGAGGGGCAGCATCTATCTAGACTATATGATCAGGCAAAGAAAGAATGGGGTTTGCTACCTAAGAAGCATCCGATTCGACCTCCAAACAATCCCATCCTTGTGCCTTAAGCCAACTCAGAGCTTCACGTATACTTAGCGTCTCTGCTTCCATCCTTGAGGCCTCAACTTGAAGTTTCAAACATGACCTCTCAAAAGCTGTAGACAATATTTTATCCCATGCCAATGTTAAGCTTTATTTCTATTCTACCCAAACATATATTGGATAGTTTTTGTTGTACTATAGCTCGATCACCTGCATTCATTAGAGGTTGCATGCCACGATCGATTCCCCCATTTTAAGGACTATTTTACTTTCCATTTCACTTGGAGTACTATGCAATAAATTAGAGGTTGCATGCATTCATCCGCGTGTTCTTATTATGCAATAAATTAAAATATGGGTGCACAATCAAATGTTGATGATCGAAAAATCAATAGTTTTCCATGCTTACAGAATTTGAGGCCAAAAGGAGTAGCCCAATGTTTTATATGTTTGTATTTTTAACCAATCTTAAAAGCAAACTAATCTTATAGTCCGTGTATTCATTATTGTTTAGGCTTAACAAGATCTAATTGCTTGTTAGATCTTAATGTCGATGACCATCAGAACCCAGTACTATACCAACAATTAACGTCCACCTCATTAATCACCACAATACCAAGACTGCTCGCCATGATCGATTAAGATAACCGGTCTAGAGAGAGCTCTTGGTTGACCACAATAGGAGCTTGTTGAGCTCTTAGTCAAACATCGATCAAGTTTTCCAGGAAATGGGGAAATTGAATTTACCAATAATTTATACTATACACCAAGACCAAGAATGGTATAATGTAATGGTAATAAACTAGAGAGCTCATAGTACAGTACCAAAAGGATCAACTAAGATTTTTATGTCGTTAATGTATTATTGATCTATTCTTTGGGTGTCATTTTCTTTATGTTACCATCCTTTTCAACTCCATGGAACGCAACATATAAAATTTCGGACATTATTGGTGCTTGAATACAATCGTGTATAAGAGTTTATTGCTATATCTTGCATGTGAAACTCCACAAAAATACCAGGAGACAATGCCGAAAAATCAAAAAACATATTTTGTTTAATTTTGAGCGATTTAATATATAATTTCACTAGGCATGACTGCATGAGAATGGAACCATCGAAAACCCGAGGAGACCATGTGAGTTAGTACTCTTCCACCGAATGTAGTCTTTCACATCATCCAATTTTCTAGTAACACTATTTGTTAGATTGGTGGTGGAAAATGGGAATTGAGTTGCCAAGGGGAGGGACTGGACTATCGATGATGGTTGCGTCGCATAGGTGGGCACATGGGCAGGGGCGGAGCTAGGGCACCGTGCCGGACTGAGCTAGGGCACACATAATTTTTACACTAAAAATTTAGACATTTTTTTAAATTTGGGCTGGGTCAGGCCAGAGTTGACCCCTCCCTAGCTACGCCCGTGCACATGAGAGGTTGACATAATAATGACGGCAGAAGAAGGGTTTTTAGTGAAAAATTGAAAATTGAATTAAAATAAACTAAACTGCAACCAAATTAAACACCCCGACTCAATAGGACATATGAGGGTTATGATTCCGTGCGCATCAGAGGTTCAGCCCAGCACACGCTCCAACCTTCACCCGATAGCTGCGAGTTTTGATCCTTAATCATTCCTCTGTTTTTCCCATCACTCGACCAACTGAGCTATCTTGCGTGTGCTATATCAATTTTTGGGTGAGGACGCTCGCCCCCCAACAACAAAATTTTTTAGTGTATATATATAATAAAAAATAATTTTCGCCCTCCCAAAAAATATTTTGTTTAAGTTACCGTCCTCCCAAGACAAACTTCCTGGGTCCGTCCCTGGCGAGGAGGATATACACACCAGTAGCACTGTACGCATTAAAGAGCTTGGTGAGCACGAAGTAAAGACTATCCTATCAGTATTCCCCTTTTACGTTTAAAGATAGAAAACGTGCATGGACAGCGTTTGGTGGATGGCGATCAGTCCTTTTTCTTCATCATCTATCACATATATATATACATGAAATCAATAGCTCAGCCAACAACTATTCAAAGCTTCTGTCAATATGAGAACGAAACCTAACAGCTGCTCCATGCTCTGTACGTTCTGAAATTTCACCCTAACATTGATGACCATTTAATCAATCAATTACGTACTCAGTGTCGATCCCTCACAATTTTACTATGAATGTTTCTGCCAATCAAATTAAACATTGTCAATATATTTTTGTAGGGAATAATTTAATCCATATAATACAAAAATTATATGAAAATGTCCTTTTACTAAAATACTTTTAAAAGTATAAAATACTCCCTCCGGTTTTTAATAAACTTCACACTTTCCTTTTTGGGACGGTTTAAAATAAACTTCACACTTCCTTATTTCCTTTTTTGGCAAAGAAATCTACATCAAACAGTGTCTCAACAGTGCCAAACAGTGTCTCAACAGTGCCAAACAGTGTCTCTACAGTGCCAAACAGTGTCAAACAGTGCCTCAACAGTGTACTCTACAGTAAAGTCAAATTTCTTTCCTTATTTTGTGTGAAGTCAAACTGTGAAGATTAAAAAAACCCGGAGGTAGTATAAAACTTCCGCAAAAGTGATAAAACAACACTAATCAGAATAATTAGTCAGAGTTCACTTGCACTATTAACTTGAAAAGTCAAAGATATCAAAATTTCGAGGGATATATATATAGAGAATAATAATACTCCGTACAATACTACTCTCTCTTTCAAGCTTAAATTGTCTCATCTTTTCTTTTCGATCTGTCTCACATAAATTATCTCACACCAAATTTGATAAAATTTGTGTGATTTAAATCATTCTTCTTTTTATTCTTAGTTTCTTACTTTATCAATTTAATATCGATAAATTACATAAATCTATTTTCTTAATAATCACATCACCTCCTTCCGAATGCTGGTGGGATGGAGGTAGTACTTAATACTCATTCCGTCCCATTTAAATTTTTACACTTTCCTTTTTGGTACGACTCATCTACTGCTTTACGGTTTACATTTCCTTTTTAGGCAACTCCTTTTACATTACATGTCCTAACTACCTTTCACTATCCACCCACTTTTCACATTTCAATGGATAACATTAATTCTCTCCAAAAGTTAAAAGGCATGCAAGACATTTGTTCTTTTCATTAATTGAGCTCCTAAAATAGGATGACAAAAGTAAAAGTCATGTTCTATCCATGACGGAGCCACGGAGGTAGTAGTAACCAAGGTAGAAACAATATACGGAGTACATAATCAGTGAGAGTAGTGTTATACGGGGTATGTAATACACCATCTCTTACATCTTAAACTTCTGACTCTCTGTTTTGAATGTCTTAACTAAATGTTCTTACTCTTATTTTAAAAAATAAGTAACAATCTTATATACCCTTTCTGTCCCTTTTTACGGAGTATTTATTAATGTATTATAAATTAAATTTAAAAAAAATATAGTTAAATTCTTCTCATTTCGCATTTTCAAAATCTAATTTTTTTACTAATAAGGAATGAAAGATATTAGGCCTTTTTATTCCAATATTATTGAAATGAATGAAAATGATAAAAAAGTGACTTGTTTTAAATTTTTCTAAAAATGTGACTAAAAGTCATTTATTCCTTTTATTTAATCATACATTTATCATTTCAATATTCCTTTTATTATTTCAATATTCCTTTTATTCATTTATTCCATATATTACCAGCACCCCTGTGGCCGCCGACCCAGCACCGCCGCCGCCGCCGCCGCCGCAGTGACTCCGGTCAAAGTGACTCCGGCTGCAGTGATTCCGGCCAAAGTGACTCCGGCCACAGTGACTCCGACCAAAGTGACTCCGGCCAAAATGACTCCGGCCAAAGTGACTCACCTCCACTCCGCCGCCACAGTGACTCCGACCACAGTGACTGAAGTCATTGTGACTGATCCGCCTACCGACCATAGTAACTACCCACCCACCGGCCACAATAACTCCGATCACTGTGACTGTCGCCCCACCAGTCATAGTTACTCAGCCGTGATGTGTGTTTTCTCGCACTTAAAATAGTTGTAGAAAAGTGGTTGAAAGTACGAGTATCGTCTCCATAGGGACGGACAAAAGGGAATTAAAGATTAACTAAATTCAGCGATTAAACAGAAATAAATAAATTAAAATGCGATGTGCGAGATTGATTGGTTGAATTAAAATTAAAACTAATGCTAATGAGCGATAAAAATAAAAGATTGGTTTCTTCTCAATTAACGACGAAGGGAATAGGGATTGATTCCGGGGTAACCAGATTTCTGGCAGATCAGGCCTAATTACATGAATTTAATTTAATTGAGCCTAGCTAATCATTACTAAGTTCTTACCGCTCTCGCGGCGTAGAGTACAATAATTTAGGGGACCAGACTGATCTCTCATGCGACATGATCCTAAATTATTGCCAAGACGAGCGAGCTTACGGCCCCTTAATCGCTACTAATCTCTTAGCGAACGATTAAGTGTGTGAATGTGTCCTACAACAAATTAGATCTCTCTTAATTCATTCTACATACAATTGTAATTCTAGCTGCAGTCTAGGTTACAAGAGATATCAATTAAATTATTCAAACACAAATTAAACGGCATTCATGCAATTAAACCGACAGGAATCTAGCCATCAATCATGATTAACCCCTTCATCAACCCCAAATTTCTAATTAAACTACTCACAATTCATAATTGAAGAATCAACAGAATTGGGATGAATAGAAATAATTGTCATTAATTAAAAAGATGAACTTACAAATAATCCCAGGGTCTTGGAAGAAAATAGCGTAAAAACGGTGTTAAATTCGTCCCTAGGCCTCTCCGTAATGTTCGTAACCGCCAAAAGTGGGTATGAAGGCCTTATTTATAGAAAACAACGAATTCGGGTCGAATTAGGACAAATCGCGGCCAGGCACGGTGCCAGGCACGACCGTGCCTGCGACCGTGCCTACGGAAGGAATCCGTTTTTTCGCGTCCAGGCACGGCGTGCCTAGCTGCCAGGCACGACCGTGCCTGGCTTCCAGTAGCCAATTTCTTCGAAATATGCCAGGCACAGCGTGCCTGGCCTCCAGTAGCTCCCAGGATAATTTACGCTTCAGGCACGGCGTGCCTAGCTGCTAGGCACGGCGTGCCTGACCCTATTCTTCACTTTTCCTTCGTTTTCTTGCTCTGAATGCTCCCGGATGCCTACGAGGTCGATCCAAATGCTCTTTCTTTACCAGAATTTCGTCACGAATCTCCCGGTGGCCTCCAAATCTTCCAAATCTTTCTCGAATGCCTTCAAATCCTCCCCGAATGCCTCTCAAGCGCCGATTGCCGGACTCTAACTTCTTCAAATCAACTCCAAATGCAATGAAACTCGATCCAACGCCTGCTAAACACAACTTGAGCCAAAATTGAGACTTGCATCGCCTTAAAGTTAGGAAAATCATCAAAATCCAACCCGAACACGCATCAAATGCGTGTCTAAATACGGACTTATCAGACTCCCCCACACTTAAGCTTTTGCTTGTCCTCAAGCAAATCGAACAACGGGACTTACGATAATCACCACACAGAATTTAAAACAGTTAGCATGCACACGTAGTTAAAGGGATATTCACAGGGCAGACAATCTAAATCAAGAAAATTCTTCCCTAAACTACACCTTTGTACTCAAGCTAAACTATTTGACACAATTATTCACAACATCCTCAAAGTAATGATAGCATACACAAATAAACTAGCTACTGATCAGAAGGACTTGTAAATGTTATGGTGAATGGTTAATGATAATAGTCCCTTTATTTTGAGAGATAGGAATATTCTAACAAAGACTTAATGTATTTAGAAACTTCAGGGTTATTCTTAGGAACAAGAAATTCAGTAGGCCACAATTTAGGAACAATCATTTAAACCTATGCAAAGAGTAGACATGGTGTACAACTAAGCTAAACCGTCTCGGCACTTTTGTGCTTTGACGTATACTTGAAGTACACGGAGGACTAAAGCTAATGTTTCAATAGCCTCCAAGTTCATTGATTAAGTTTAGTTTTCCTTGTCATGTTGGCACGAGAACGCCGTTTCTTTCGAAAGATACCCAAGTCTTATCTTGCGCTTTTTGACCGGGGCTCCCATTCTCTTTTTCGAAAAGTAAGAGGTCTAGCTATATTAATTTTTCACCTTTCGGATTCTCACTAGACATTACCCTATTCTAATCTCGGCCTCACCAAGGAAAAATAGCAATTTAAGTTCATTAATTTCAAAGTGAATCCATGCCTACAATGCAATCCTCGAAAGTATCAAATTCCTAAAAAGTGACTGCTCTTACCCCATTTGGGGCATAGGAACAGTGCCAAAAATGGCTCCTACACAAATTCCCTAAACTTAACAAATTAATCCCTTAATTTCCTAAACATCAAGACTAAGTCAGAAATATTCACGGGCAAAGAAAAAGGCCATTTGGCTATGGAGCTCAATTAATTGGGTAACAATAAACGGTCAGGCTCAAAATGGCTTCTCCTAAAGGATTTTTTTTTTAGGTGGGGTGGATGATTAATGGAAAATTCAATGGGTGACTAATGCCTTCATCCTTTCAACAACTAGATTATAGTGCAAGCAATTTAAGCCTAAACACTTCAAAGATGTTTTAAAAGCATAGTCAAAACGCTAGGTAGCTCACAAAGACACAGTTTAAAGAAAAATTTTCAAAAACTTTGCATGAATTTCCTATGAATATACAACTAACACCTGCGCATGCTAACTCTAGCAAATCACATGTAACAACTACTGCCCGAATGCCCAATTCACTCCCCCACACTTAAACTTTGGCATCGCCCTCGATGACCAAAAATGCACTATGCACAAGGGGTAAAGAGGAAAGGGTCACATGTGTTCAACATAACTCAAGTCATTATTACAACAAGTGAGTAAAAGAGTGAAAGAAACTTCCCTATGGCGCTGGTCGGTGCAGAACTAAACTGAGTTAATGTAATCCTTGGCACATCACCCAAATAACAAGACCCTGAGCTGCAACAAAAACACAAAGCAAAACAACCAAACAACAAACAAAGAAAAAACAAAAGTAGAAATAAGCTCGGGTTGCCTCCCGAGAAGCGCTATTTTTAACGTCGTGTGCCCGACGCAACCACCTCATCAAAAACTCAATCAAAGACACTCCCACTCAGAAAATTGGTCTTCCACAAATCAAACCTCCTATCAACAAATGCCCTGAGATGGCGTAAGACCTTAAATTCATGAAAACAATTGCACATCTCAGGGTTTCCTGTACATCAAAATAATGAGTCTAGGCCTTTATCAGGCCCCTTAGCAAAGAATGGGTCTAAGAATGAATCACTCCCTTTCATGTCAGAAATTTTCCGGGCTGGAGCTTCCTTTTGTTCACTAAGATATTGAAAATGTGCTGTATTTTGGGATGGCTCATGCCCGGATGCAAAACTAACAGGGAGGTTAAGTCTGTCATGAATAAAATTACCCTCATTTAAATTACCTCTCGTCTCTTGCTCAGAACTAGCATCACTTGAATCCTCCCCTCCACTTATCATAAGACAATCAAAGCTAGGGAGGGGCTCAAGATCCTCTGCTGATATACTCTCTTCCAACAAAATATCAAACAGGACTTCCTTGGAAAGCATGTTAGGTGTGCAATCCTCCACCAAAGAATCAATATCATCCACATAAAAACATTCTCCACTGTCCTGACAGGGTCTCTTCATTATTTTGGACATATCAAAGGTGGCAGTCTCATCCCCAACACGGAGGACTAGCTTACCGTCTCCAACATCAATAAGCGCTCAGGCATTTGCCAAGAATGGTCTGCCCAAAATTAAAGGTACCTCACGATCCCGATTCATGTCCAAAATAACGAAGTCTACAGGAATAATAAACTTGTCCACTTTAACCAACACGTCTTCAATAATACCTTTAGGATATTTGACTGAACGGTCAGCCAACTGAATACACATACGCGTTGGTTTAAGTGGACCGAGTGCAAGCTTCTCACACAAAGAATATGGCATCAAATTAATGCTTGCACCCAAATCAGCTAAGGCCCTATCAAAAGTAAGATCTCCTATTAAACAGGGTATAGTAAAAGAACCTGGATCCTTAAGCTTCTCTGGTAAATCCCTCCTAATCACAGCTGAGCAGTCCACGTTAAGCCTTACCGTTGACGCGTCCTCCAACTTCCTTTTGTTAGTGAGTAAATCCTTCATGAACTTGGCGTACTTCGGCATCTGTGCTAGTGCATCCACGAATGGAATGTTGAGCTGGACTTGTTTCATGAGTTTCAGAAAATGACCAAACTGGTCACTATCATTCTTCTTAGTCAATCGCGCCGGATAGGGGAGAGGAGGGGTGTAATTTTTTATGGGAACGGGCTGTTTTGGTGCAATTGCCACCTCTCTCTCCTCTTCCTTCTCCTTTTCTTCCTCCCGGGCAGCAGGTACATCTTTAACTTCCTCGGACTTCTTTGTTGTGGCAGCAGGTTCTACTTCTTTTCCACTCCTTAAGGTGACTGCATGAACATGTTCTCTTGGGTTTGGCTCGGTATTGCTAGGGAGGGATCCCAGAGGCCTCTCAGATAAAGCCCTTGAGATCTGCCCCAATTGAGTCTCCATGTTCTGCATCCCTGCCTCAGTTATTTGCATCCTTGAGTCTGCTTGCTGCTGCTCTCGCTGTTGATTTTGCATTTGTTGGTGTTGAAATTGCATCTGTTGCTGTTGAAATTGCAGCAGTTTCTTGAGTGTTTCTTCTATGCTAGAAAATTTCTGCTCAGTCTCTCTCTTAAAGCTCTCTTGCACTTGCTGAGATGTTTGTTGTTGATTATAGTTTCTAGACTGCTGCTGCTGATTTACATACCCGTAATTCCCTTGTTGCTGCTGTCCGTAGGGCTGATTGTAGTAGCCCTGTCGCTGAAAATTCATCACATCAACTTGCTCTACTCCAGGGGCTGCCGAGTGTGCCATCATAGTGCATTCATGTGGCGAATGGAGTCCCCCACACATAGTACAAGAGGGACTAATAAGAACGGGGGCTACCATATTAACACTGGGCACCGAGAGAGCAAGATTCGTCTTCTTTTGATTATCCTCCACACTTGTAGCAAGCTTCTGAATCATGCTAGTCAAAGCATCTACCCTCGCAGAAAGGGCCGAATTATCACTGATCTCAAACAACTCCGGGGTCTTCTGGTGAGGTGTGTCCCGAGAGCTGTACCATGAAGCATTATTAGAAACAATCTTCTCCACTAATTCTTCCGCCACCTCAGATGGTAATTGAGGAAAAGCTCCTCCACCCAAAGCATCAAGCATCATCTTCCCTTCATCGCAAATTCCGCTATAGAAGCAAGATAGAACCTCACAATCAGTCATCTTGCCCTGAGGACAAGCTCTTCTTAGCACTTTAAATCTCTTCCACGCCTCAGCCAATGTTTCCAACGAACCTTGCTTGAAATCTTGCAGCTGCTTCTTCAGCTTTATGGCCTTTGATGTTGGAAAGTATTCTTTTATGAAGGCCTTGTGCAGCTGATCCCAAGTCTGAATGTGGTGATGTGGATTGCTATCCAACCACCTCTGCGCGTCATCCCTCAATGAGAAAGGGAACAATAGCATCCGTACCTGATCGTCATCTAGCCCAGGGATCTTGAAAGTTTGGCACATCCTCAAGAATTTTGTAATGTGTGCCACTGGATCTTCTGTAGGGCTCCCTCCAAACTGATTATTGGACACCATGTTAATCACTGCTGGGTTGATCTCATAGCGGGGTGCAGTAATTCCCTGCACTTGAATGCTGTCATACTCTGTGATGTTCGGAGTGAGGAAATCTGCAATGCTTTCTCCCTGATAGAGCGGATTGTTATATGGGACATGATGTTGGAATGGAGGAGCCTGATGTCTTGGTTGAAGAACTGGATGTGGTCTAATAGGATGTGGACGGGCTATGTTTGGCTGTGCTTGGGGCTGAACTTGGGGCTGATGATATTGTTGAAATTGATTTTGGAAGGGCTGAGTTTGTGGTTGATGGATGGGTGGATTTTGAGTGACTTGGGGCTGGTTTTGTCTTGGCTGACAGAGTGGATTATTTTGCCCAATACCTTGCATCCCGTATGTTTGATTTTGAAAAATGGTTTCGGGAGCAGTAGAGGTATCTTGGAAGAGTTGATAGAGTGGTGGAAGATTTAGTTGTGGAGTGGACTGATTTTGGGGGGAAAATTGGGTACGGAGATTTTGATACCCAGGATAAGCTCTAGGTGAATTTTCTTGTGAAGACTGGGGAGAGGTATTAACATAAAAGTCCAGATTACCAGAAGTGGTTTGGACCTCAGACGTCCCAGCTATTCCAGATCCAGATGGTGGATCCATGGTTGCTTTCTGTTCTCTAAAGGCCTTGCGGTTCTGCTTAGCTAGCTTCTCGATCTCAGGATTAAGAGGGACTAGTGATTCTCCCTTCTTAGAGCGTGTATGCATAAACAGATCTGACCTGCAAGGTTAGCAGACAAAAATCCTACGAAAAACTAAAAACAAGTCGCTATAATTAATTAACCCTTAAATCCGACACCGTCCCCGGCAACGGCGCCAAAAACTGATGTGTGTTTTCTCGCACTTAAAATAGTTGTAGAAAAGTGGTTGAAAGTACGAGTATCGTCTCCATAGGGATGGACAAAAGGGAATTAAAGATTAACTAAATTCAGCGATTAAACAGAAATAAATAAATTAAAATGCGATGTGCGAGATTGATTGGTTGAATTAAAATTAAAACTAATGCTAATGAGCGATAAAAATAAAAGATTGGTTTCTTCTCAATTAAAGACGAAGGGAATAGGGATTGATTCCGGGGTAACCAGATTTCTGGCAGATCAGGCCTAATTACATGAATTTAATTTAATTGAGCCTAGCTAATCATTACTAAGTTCTTACCGCTCTCGCGGCGTAGAGTACAATAATTTAGGGGACCAGGCTGATCTCTCATGCGACAGGATCCTAAATTATTGCCAAGACGAGCGAGCTTACGGCCCCTTAATCGCTACTAATCTCTTAGCGAACGATTAAGTGTGTGAATGTGTCCTACAACAAATTAGATCTCTCTTAATTCATTCTACATACAATTGTAATTCTAGCTGCAGTCTAAGTTACAAGAGATATCAATTAAATTATTCAAACACAAATTAAACGGCATTCATGCAATTAAACCGACAGGAATCTAGCCATCAATCATGATTAACCCCTTCATCAACCCCAAATTCCTAATTAAACTACTCACAATTCATAATTGAAGAATCAACAGAATTGAGATGAATAGAAATAATTGTCATTAATTAAAAAGATGAACTTACAAATAATCCCAGGGTCTTGGAAGAAAATAGCGTAAAAACGGTGTTAAATTCGTCCCTAGGCCTCTCCGTAATGTTCGTAACCGCCAAAAGTGGGTATGGAGGCCTTATGTAACAGTTGAGATTTAATATAAATGGATTAATAGTACTACTCATACAAACAGAGGTGCATCTCCTTTTAAGGGAGCTCATCACCCAAGAACTACAAAGTTAAGCGTGCTTGCACGGGAGTAGTCTTGGGATGGGTGACCCCCTGGGAAGTTTCTCAGGGTCCGCACGAGTGAGGACAAAGTGCGCGGTAAAGGCTCGTGGTGGTTTGTGGGGACAGTACTATTGGTCCGGAGTAACTACCTCGGGTCCGGTGGGGCTGGGGTGTTACACCTTATTTATAGAAAACTACGAATTCGGGTCGAATTAGGACAAATCGCGGCCAGGCACGGTGCCAGGCACGACCGTGCCTACGACCGTGCCTACGGAAGGAATCCGTTTTTTTTGCGTCCAGGCACGGCGTGCCTAGCTGCCAGGCACGACCGTGCCTGGCTTCCAGTAGCCAATTTCTTCGAAATATGCCAGGCACGGCGTGCCTAGCTGCCAGGCACGGCGTGCCTGGCCTCCAGTAGCTCCCAGGATAATTTACGCTTCAGGCACGGCGTGCCTAGCTGCTAGGCACGGCGTGCCTGGCCCTATTCTTCACTTTTCCTTCGTTTTCTTGCTCTGAATGCTCCCGGATGCCTACGAGGTCGATCCAAATGCTCTTTCTTTACCAGAATTTCATCACGAATCTCCCGGTGGCCTCCAAATCTTCCAAATCTTTCTCGAATGCCTTCAAATCCTTCCCGAATGCCTCTCAAGCGCCGATTGCCGGACTCTAACTTCTTCAAATCAACTCCAAATGCAATGAAACTCGATCCAACGCCTGCTAAACACAACTTGAGCCAAAATTGAGACTTGCATCGCCTTAAAGCTAGGAAAATCATCAAAATCCAACCCGAACACGCATCAAATGCGTGTCTAAATACGGACTTATCAAGCCGCCACCATGACGCTGCCACCCTGGCCGCCGCCACCCCCAGCCCTGGCTCAACTCCCTATCCCCCAGCCCCCAGACCTCCCCAACCCAACCGCTCCGGCCACCACTCCAGCCAACCACCACACTCCAGCCCCACCGAACCTCAGGTCCAGTACACCCCAGCCCCACCACACACTGCCCCAACCCTGCACAATGGTTGCACCATCCCCAATCCCACTGTCCTGCCACATCCCCACAACCAGCACCCCCCGACCATCGCTGGAGACCACCATGTCCATCCACCGCCGGATACCCCTAAACTCGGTCCCTTCCCCAACTGCCCAGCCCCTTCCTGTGCTCCCCTACCCACACCCCAGCTCCAAACCTCTGCAGTCGCCCCCCTCCTACCCAGATCCCATGCCCTACCTTCATCGCATCCCAAAGCCAAGCCGTTAGATTCTAGTCGTGCTGTCGTTGAACGAGAAAAAAAGAGAAGAAGAGGGAGGACGAAGACGATGAAGAACGGATCGAACGAGGATAGAAACGAATCGAATGGAAATCAAAATGAATCTGACGGAAATCAGACCAGATCTGTTCTTCCAGCTCCTGGAATGGAATGGAGCGTTGGGGACGATGTCACGACGACTCACGTTTTGGCCGACCTAATGGATATGGCGGCGTTGCAAGGACATGGATGCTTGGCCTCTGGTTCCGAGTTCGCTGGATGCTCCGCCTCTTGGTTCGATGACGCTTTGACGGGAGTGAAGAAGATGGGATGATGTCGCGGGGGAAGATGGGAAGACGGAAATAGGCTCAAGTGTTTTAATGAGGTCATATTTTTGGAAAATGTAAAAGTTATCATATTTTATGAAATGAAAACTCTAATAGTAATATAGAGGCAAATATTTCAAGATATTAATGGTCAAACTTGTGTGTTGGCAGTCGTGAAAAGATATTAAACTTACGCTTAAAGAAGAACGGAGGAAATAATCATAATTATCTCCAGTTATCCCATTATAATATACGAAAGTATCATATATAGAATCATCAAAATTATTTATCAATATATACTTCAATAACCTTATTATATTGTTGTTTATACTTTATACTCTCCCGTCCCATTTTGGTTGTCTTACTTTTCTTTTTGGGTTGTCCCAAATTGAATGTCTTGTTTTCTTTTTTTGGCAAGAAATATGTGATTCTTTTCATTTCACTTTATTCCAGTGGTGGAGCTAGAAATCTATGGTTAAGGGTGCCGGTTCTTATAAATTTTACATTATTGGGGCCAAAGTTTAAAATATCAACATGTTTTCTATAGATTAAAAGTATTTATACATAACATATACTTAAGAATTTTTTTTATTGCAGGGGATGAGGCCCCCTCCAGCCTCTCCCTGTCTTCACCCCTGCTTTATTCTACCCAAATCTCAACCACAATTTTTACTTTTCAACCACTTTATTAATAATCGTGCCAAATTGAAAGTGGACAACCAATATGGGATAAATAGAGGGTAGAGCAGGATATATGATCTCTTGTTTCTCTTGATAATTTCCACTACCAGACATCACAATGGAAACCAACCTGTGTTTCTCTCAACACCCATGGCTTCTTCTACTCCTGCCCCTCGGCCTCTGCAAACTCTTGTCCTTCACTTTATCCATTCTGAAATGGGCCCACGCCTATTTCCTCCGGCCCGCCAAGAATCTCAAGAAATACGGGTCGTGGGCTCTGGTGACCGGACCCACTGACGGCATCGGAAAGGCCTTCGCTTTCCAGCTGGCTCGGGAGGGGCTCAACGTAGTCCTGGTGGGTCGGAACCCGACGAAGCTGAAGGAGGTTTCCGACGGGATACAGGGCAAGTACGGGGGCCTGAAGGTCAAGACCGTGCTGGTTGACTTCTCCGGCGATTTGGACGGCGGCGTTCGGCGAATCCGGGAGGCGGTCGAGGGGCTGGACGTGGGAGTGCTGGTGAACAACGTGGGGGTGACTTATCCGTACGCGAGGTTCTTCCACGAGGTGGAGGAGAAGCTGCTGGCGGAGGTGATAAAGGTGAACGTGGAAGGGGTGAGTAAGGTGACTCAGGCGGTGTTGCCGGGGATGGTTCAACGGAGGAGAGGGGCGATAGTCAATATTGGGTCCGGCATGGCGGCGGCCATCCCTTCCGCTCCGCTGCACGCTCTTTATTCTGCCTCCAAAGCGTACGTAAGGCATTTAATTTTCAGCTGCCATCTCTTATGTACATACCTATGTTTAAAAAACCGACCCGACCCGGCCGGGTTGACCCGGACAAAAATCCGGTTTGGTTTCTTCAAAACCCGAAAATGGTCAAAAATCGGAAGTACCAACGTACTAAAACAACAACATAACTGATAGCCCGATCTTCTCCGTTAATCCATCCAAAACCTTGTCACCGGCTCCATACATTCACTACAAGAAAAGTGCACATAGACCGCACATAGAGCAATATTTTTTTGCGATGGCCGCATAACTGTAGTTAAAAACACTATTAACCACACATTTTTTTATTTACCACATACAAAACTGTGATAAAAGGTCAGAGACGACAGTTTTTATCCGTGGCCAATGTTTTTACCACGGCTGTTGTGGCGACGCACGTAAAACTGACGCAAAACTGTCGTAAATGTTCCTCCTTATGTTTTTACGACAGTTTTGCGACAGTTTTAGGTGCGTCGGCACTAAAGCCGTGGTAAAAACATTGGTCACAGTTAAAAACTGTCATCTCTAGGCTTTTACCACTTTTTGTGTGTGGTAAATAAAAAAATGTGTGGTTAATGGTGTTTTTAACGACAATTATGCTGCCATCGCAAAAACAAATGTGGTCCATGTGCAGTCTATGTGCACTTTTTTTGTAGTGATTCTCCCAGGCTTCCATACCTTGTTTATTACCTATACATGATGACATAAGAGAATAGAATTCTCGTAAGCAATAATGCTTAGTAAGTCACCATTTCATCCACTAAAAACGTTTAGGGAATCTTAGCTAATCATAAATAGATACCCATGCTGAATACACCACACATATACTATAACCAAACATGATAGTCACACATAAGCACTCATGTAACAAACACCAAAAGATTTCCTTATTCATTATTCTTTCTTCTTATCTTATTTCTTGACTTGATGGGCCCGTAGCTCGTGTCCTGGCCCCTCGCTAATGACCTCGGGTAGCTAGCCCTCACCATCAGAAGCAACTCCGGGACTCCCCGCGGAAGGAGATCCCGCTACTCTCAGCTCAAGTAGTTACTTGGCGGCACGGCTACCTTGTAACATTACTTATATTTCATTACTTTCATCATCATCATCATCATCATCATCATAATTTCCTTTCATTGTTGGTTCCATATGAACTCAACCCCAAATCAAACATAGAACTTGAAATTCACATATCTCATGTCATACAATTTCAAGTATTCATGCACATACATCACATTCACAATATTCCATAACTTCACAATTAACACCACATGTCAATCGGTACATATAACTTGGAAATCACATGTTTCATACCATACGATTTCAAGTACCCATGCACATATATCATATTCATAATTAGCTAATCTTCCACACTTTATTTAGAACTATCATGTATAGGTGGTGGTGACTTACCTGGTTTCTGTAGAGTATTTACTCTTGTGTGTGTGTGTCCGACATCCTGGAGCAACAGTTCTTCTATGAGCAACTATAATTATAAATACACAATTTTACACTTGATCAAACTTAACTTCATGTTTTTAGAAATATCCTTAGACTTAAGGATGAGGGGAAGTTCACAATTTGCCCCGACTAGTGAGAAAACTCCCGAATTCTTACAACAAGTCGGACATAGCTTCGGGGGTAACTAGATAACCTAACCCCGATTAATACTCACAACCAAAAGTTAAAAACAACTAACTAATTAGTATAATATCAAGGGCTCCTTATATTTATTTAGAATCAGCCCCTAAACTTAAGACACCTCTCAAATACTTCCATTAGAAATGTCAAAACTTTGGGGTAGCTAAATACTCAAGAACTAATTGATTCCGACTCAGGCTAATAAGGTAGCTGGGATTGTGGCTAGATTGGGCCTGCAGATGGCTTTCAAGTGGAGATGGGGAGATCAAATTTCTAGTGAGCTTAGAGGGGCTCTTATGCTTGACAAGAGGTCAACTCCTTATATCTTTTGATCATGTTGCTGAAAGGGGAATGATTATCCTTATTTTCTTTTTTTTTCAAAATGTTTTCTATTGGAGTAAGATTTGTCCCTCCAAATATTTTTACTTTATTTTCATTAGTTTCGAAGAGGAATGCCTCTTCGGGAGAGGTTTTGGTCTAGCCTCCCTCTCCTTCTGTACTCTTCTTGATTACTAATAATAAACTATTTAGTTAAAAAAACTAATTGAAGCGATGAAATCAAGGATTTACAACAACTCCATGACAACCTATTTATCAAGAAAATCCATTGATTTCTAAGGAATCAATTCAAAATCCTTCAACCCTAGCAAAATCCCCAAAACCAGAACCCTAGCTCAAAATATGAAAGAAATACTTCTCACCAAGTGTAAATCTTATCAAGTGATAATCTTTTATGAAGAATATGTTTATTTAGAGCTTGAATCACCTTAAGAATGGTTTAGGAACGATTTGTAGGGAGAGAGATGAGCTTAGATTGATTTTGGGGCCGAAAGGGGGTGTTTTGAGCTTAAAACGATTTTTGACCGACATGCTGAAAACCGACCGGACCGGCCTGGTTTGGCCATGACCGGCGCCGGTTATTCTTCCATTTAACAACTTTATGTTTCAGACCGGCGCCGGTTGAATCCGAACCGGCGCCGATTTGAGGCCAATCGGGTGCCGAAAACGTCATTTTTCGCCCTAAATCGACCCCGATTGTTGCCGTTCACATCCTAGACCCCCGTTGACATTTTAAACTACATTTCAACACCCAAATACTATCTAACATGACAACCATTTTATCCGGAATAAAAATGATTATTACGGTATAGTTTCATTGCTCACCGGATACCGTCGCCTGCCACGTTCGAACATAATACAAGCATGTAAGTTCAAATATAATTATCACAAGTTCATAATCACATAATATCCTTATTCTTCACATGTATACCACTCAAACCATGAATCAAAACATGATCCTATTGATGAATTAAACACATAAAAAATATTGCGTATATAAAAAGTACGGTCGTTACACTAATGCCAAAGAGTTTAGGTTCCAAAGAGTCTCAAAATGGACCAATGCCATGAAAAGTGAGATGTACTCTTTGAGAGTGAACTTAGACTTGGACCCTTGTCTCTAGATCCCCCAATGTTATGTAGTTGAGTGTAAGTGGTTCTTTAAGGTAAGGGTGAACCTGATGATGTTAGGTTTAATGCTATGTTGGTAGCTAAAGGGTTTACTCAAAAGGAGGGGTAAATTATGCTGAGATATTTGCTCTTGTATTAAGTTTACTACTGTTAGAATTATGTTTGCGCTTGTGTCTCACTTTCATTGAGAAATGAAACAGATGGATGTGACTATTGATTTCTTGCATGGTGATCTAGATAAAAATATCTATATGATTCGATTTGAAGGGTTTGTGGATCCAAAGAAAAGTGATTATGTATGTTTCATGAAGAAGGCCTTGTATGGTCTAATCTAATTAATTGGCTCCTAGTTCCCTTACATGCACGGGGCATTCCGTTGGTGGCGGGGTAGTTCTTTGGCGGTGGCCAAAATGGTGCTGATGCATTCTGGTAATTTTCGGGGGATTCCAGTGATCGGCGGAAGATATGTCTTGCGGTTGTTTAGCGAAGGCATGGTTGGGGAAGGTCGTTGGACGTAGGGAAGGGTATATATGTCCAAACACACAACACTCATATATAGGGAATTTAAGACATTGTGCCGAGACCCTACTTGGTACACCCTCCGTCCCATTCTATGGATCACACTTTCATTTTTTGGACGCCCCATATAAAGGTTCTCATTTCTATTTTCAAAAATAATTAATACTCTTAAATGATAATTTAATCACTAAATATTAAAAATAATACACCCATAATATCACAATTATCATTAACGATGGCATTACATTATATATCAATCAAAATTGTTTCTCACAATATGATCAAATGACCTTATTTAATTACTATCTAAATAATGGTACCATTTTGTAACGGGAACCTTTAAGCGGAACGAACGTAGTATTTTTTTATTGGACTGTAATTTTCCAGTCCTGATATGGCCCAATCCCGCTTCTAATTCTCTAAATGAATCGGGTAGATGTCTGTTTTATGTGTGTTGAGTTTAATCCAACACGATATAGTAAATATATGTATAAATGTGTATGAACAACTCAGTTTTTACGTGGAAACCCGAAAGGGAGAAAACCACGAGACTTTTTAGGCTAATGTCCAAGCCCTCTCTTTCTCATTAGGACTCTCCTCACAATTACATTGTACAAGCCCCCATTAATGGAGTATTGAGCTAAGTCTAAAAGAAAGGAAGGAGATGAAGCTAAAGAAGGTCCCCTAAAACATGGAGGGAAGCCTCCTATAAATAGGGGAAGGGGAGAAGGGGCTCTCCACCCTAATGGGCCAAACGGGCCAGAGTGGGCCCAAATGGCTAAAGCGGGCCGGATGGGCCGAAATGGGCCTAGCTGCTCGGGCCCCGTACTACGTAAAGCCTTGGACTCATGAACAGTAATAGGCCGGGATAATATATCCCAACAATGTGTATTTTACAACTGTTAAAGTATTGTGTAACGTCATGTAACACCTTCTCTGTTTACTAGAATACATGGTGAATTTTATTAAGACTCGAGGATAGAATAAGCTAGATAAACTAGACACATGACGCTATCTCACATTACCGTGATGTACATTCCATATAGTAATGTGGTTAATTGAATAATTTTTCATTTGCAAGGCATATTTAGGAATGTATAGAATTGATTCCGCTTCTACTTTTTTGCTTTCTAAAAGTAGAAATAGAAGAATAATCCATGCTTTAGAAGTTGGACGTACTGTTCCACCTTTTAAACCTGTATCTAGAAATAATTGGAGCATATAAAAGTATTTCTACACTTTTGCCCACATATTCCAATATCTGATTTTGATTTTTGAATGAGTAGAAACAATTTTGAGAAGTAAATTCAAACACCCTCTCACTTCTTTTCTCATTTCTAATTTTAAACACTGAAGTCTAGGTTGTCAATTCTATTCCCTTCATCGCTTTATCTCTCTTGAGCTAAAGTAATTGGACATTATGCACAATTGGTGCTACTATTTCAGATATGTTGATCAATTTTCAAGATGTCTACACATGGAGTACAAGAAAAGCGGGATTGATATACAATGTCAGGTCCGCACATGTTTTAATTCTGGCTCAACTTTCCCAAGTATCTTTAATGACTGATTTAGAGGATTTGCTTGCAATGTTAAAGTAAATAGATAACCCATCAGAACATTGTGTTTTTCTTGACAAAGTTAATCAATCAAAAGGAGTTACTAACTTTGGAAAAAGAGAATTATTAAAATTAATATTGTTAATAATAAATCAAGAGGAAGATATTGTAGCGCAACTAACAATTGAAATACTTTCTACATTGAAAATAATTTTGATAGAAATGTTTATGTGACAAGTTATAAGAGTGAGTGGATCGGAGAAATTCAAGATTTCTAGAAAAATAATGTTTTCTAGAATTATTAAATGTTTATGTAATTAATTGGTTGGAGCAAGCGACATCAAATAAAGAAAAATAATCACGTTAAGTATGAAGAGTGACTTCAAATAAAAAAAAACATCTTTTCTAATCTTCAAAACATGTTTTTGTTTTGTTTTGTTTAAAAAGTTAGAAAGTGACAACTTGTACCCCTCAAATAGGATCAAATTGGTATGGTTTGATGTGCAGGTGCCCTTATATGTGGCCACAAAAATGACATCAGTCACAAAGTCTTCATTTTTCATTCCATCTGCGGAAGGCTATGTTCGGGCAGCGTTACGTTGGATAGGATATGAATGGAGGTGCACTCCTTATTGGCCTCATTCTCTTCAATGGGCTCTCATCTCACTATTGCCTCACTCCATCGTTGATACGTGCCGCTTTAAAAGCTGCCTTGCAATTCGAAAGGCTGGACAACAAAATTCAAGGAGATGCAAGTGATAGATCAGATCAAATAAGATCACATTGATCAATACATTCCAGTATGTATATTTACGAAATATAAATTTTCAATGGAAGTCATTTTCAATGGAATTTACATCTTCTATTGCTTTGATAAATTATGTGTCCATAAATGTATCAAAATTAATTAATCACACCAATTAATATGATTTTAATCAATCAAGAAGAATTTGAGGTGAACCATTTTCCAAAATTCATTGCCCTTAAGGCCGGACACGATGACCTAGTTAGTAGGGAATTCATAGTATATACTCCCTTCTTTGAAATTGAAAAAAAAAAATCTACTTGTGTCCAATTACCCCTTTTATTATTTTTATATCACAATTTAATATTATTAGTATACAATTTTTCAAAATATATATATTTATGATTCTTTCGGAAAAGTGTTAACATGTGTGTTGCAATGTAAAAAATCATTATTTTTCTATATTCTTGCACTATAAAATTACATATTTTACATGATGATAAATAGTAAATTTAATTTTATTAAGTTTAAACAAAACCAAAGAATGTTATTTTAAAAAATGTAACAATTTCTTAGAAATTTCACAACAAGACTAAAATTAATATTTTTTTGAAAGGATAATAATTAATTGATATTAATGGAATCATGTGTCAAAACGTCCTGAATACAAAACGGAGGATTAAAAAACCAAACATGATCATCAGACATAGAAACGCCTTCTCTCACTAGAGCGTGACCAACACGATTCGCTGATCGTCTAGTAAAAGCAAATGAAATGCTGTGAAAATTTGTTGATAACTCTCTAATATCATCAATGATTATACCAAATTGGGAAGAATAATCATTCGACTTGATGGCCGATATAACATGTGAAGCGTCACACTCCACATCAATGTTATCCCAGTTGTGATCCTTGACCCAACGAAAGAACCTTCTGCGTCTCTTAGAACCCACCCAAGACCACGTTTATTCCCTTCCGGAGCTGCTGCGTCGACATTCAACTTGAGACGACCGGGCTCGGGGGCTCTCCACATCACCGTTCCTCTGTGATTTACGCCTTTCTGCTGCTCAGTTTTCTCCTGCACCCGTCGCCAATTGAATAGCAAAGAACTCCCCAAAACTTCAGCCTGGTAAGGGTAAACTTCCTCTCCCCTCCAGACCTTATTGTTCCTGCACTGCCATAAAATTAATATTTATGAATATGAAATGCTTCATTTACAAGGGAAAATAATGATTTTGCAAGTTAAAATTAAAGAGTTAATATTTTAACATAAAAAAATATTTGATTTTAACTCTTTATTTATTTTTAAAATTTTGAATTCATAATTTTTTTTAAATTTATTTTATTTATTTAAAGTTAATAAGGGTAAATTTGCTAGAAACATTAGGGGTCTCTGTGTACCTTTTAAAAGTTCAGGGGTATTTGCACCTTTTTACTATCAAATTCATAATAATTTTTGTTTCTATGGGATGAGAACAAAAAGGAAGTACAAAGACTAAAGAACCAGCCAAATGAGAAAGCAATAGCAGTATTGAGGGCGGGAGCGTAGCTAAGGAAGGAACACAAGCTGATCGATTACAATATTAAGCCAGTGGGGAAGCGATAGGTCTGAAAAACCCGTATCAGAATATCTATAATGGTCAGATGTTGAAGATGGAGCCTTGTTTGGAATGCAGGAGTATATACCCGATCGGGTATGTTGGGTTACTCGATCGGGTATGAGGTGTTTGATGGGTCGAGTATTTCCCTGGTTTCTACACTCGATCGAGTATTGATCATTACTCGGTCGAGTATGCGTGTAAGGGTTACTCGGGTTATATTCTGGAGTTTATACTCGATCGAGTATGGAGGTATACTCGGTCGAGTATGTGTAAAAACACTACTCGGGCAGAATTCTGGAATCTATACTCGATCGAGTATGTATGTATACTCGATCGAGTATACGGGAAAAATTAATGACGGGATTAATTTTTGGGCCTGCGGCCTTAACCCTTATTTAGGCTTTCTTAAACCTATTTAAACATCCCTAATGTATCTGTAAACACACCAGACGCTGGAATAATAATACATCTCTCTCTCGTTCGCCGTGGACTAGCGTAATCACACCGATTGCGTGAACCACGTAAATTCTTGTGTTCTTGCTTTAAATTTATCGTTTATCTTAGCCTAATCGTGATAATTAACAACTGGTATCAGAGCTATGGCTGACGAAGGGAAGGTTAAGATCGATAAATTTGATGGTCAAGATTTTGCTTTCTGGAAGATGCAAATCGAGGATTATCTCTACCAGAAAAAGCTTCATCTACCCTTGTCTGAGAACAAGCCAGAGACGATGGCGGAGGCGGAGTGGAACTTGTTGGACCGACAGGCTCTTGGTGTGGTGAGGTTGTCGTTGGTGAAAAACGTTGCTTACAACATCGTCAACGAGAAGACAACGTTTGGACTGCTCAAGGCGTTATCCAACATGTACGAGAAACCCTCAGCGGCCAACAAGGTTTTCTTAATCAGACAGTTGGTGAATACAAGAATGAAGGAAGGTGCATCCGTGAAAGATCACATCAACGAGTTTAATTCAATCATATCCAGGTTAGGCTCGGTTGAGATTAAATTCGATGATGAAGTTCAAGCACTACTTTTGTTATCATCTTTGCCCGATAGTTGGTCCGGTACAGTCACAGCAGTTAGTAGTTCGGCTGGAACCACTAAGCTTACCTTTGAAGGTATTCGTGACTTAATCCTTGGTGAAGATATCCGGAGGAGAAGTTCGGGGGATAGCTCCAATAGTTTGTTGAGTATTGAAGACAGGGGCAGAAAATCCACTAAAGGGGGTAACAAGAAGGGAAGATCAAAGTCGAGGAAGAGGGGTCAATCCAAGAACAGGAAGGACATCAATTGTTGGAATTGCAAGGAGAATGGACACTTCAGAAATCAGTGCCCAAAAGCCCCAGCAGACAAAGGCAAGAAGGAGGTGAATGTGGCAGAGGATTATGAAGATGTTCTAATTTGCAGCGTTGAGAATTCAGTTGAGTCCTGGATCATGGATTCAGGTGCGTCGTTTCATGCTTGTCATTGCAGGGATTTGATGAAAAATTTCAGGCCCTACGGCGGAAGAGTTCGTTTGGCAGATGATAAATCCCTGGAGATCACGGGTATTGGGGATGTTGATCTCAGTACCACTTTGGGTACAACCTGGAGGCTGAAAGATGTCAGGTATATTCCAGACCTGAAGAAGATGTTGATCTCAGTAGGACAGCTTGATGAGGAAGGCCATAACGTTATTTTTGGCAACAAGCAATGGAAGGTAACAAAGGGAAAGCTGGTCATTGCTCGTGGACAAAAGCATGGTACACTGTACATGGTTGAAGTGTCTACAGATGGAGCAAACGCAGCAGTTGAAGATACAGGGATCTCTACTTTGTGGCATCAAAGACTTGGGCACATAAGTGAGAATGGAATGAAGATGTTGTCTTCAAAGGGCAAAATCCCAGATTTGAAGAATTCAAAGTTGACCTTTTGTGAGCCATGTGTTCTAGGCAAACAAAAGAGGGTAACCTTTGTGAAGACAGGACAGCAACCCAAGACTGAGCGGCTGGAGTTGATTCATTCAGATGTCTATGGACCTACAAAGGTCTCTTCAATTGGAGGTTCCCGCTACTATGTTACATTCATTGATGACTCTACACGAAAGGTATGGGTTTATTTTCTTAAAAATAAATCCGATGTCTTTAACACTTTTAAGAAGTTCAAAGCTGCAGTTGAGAATGAAACAAATCTCAAAATTAAGTGTTTAAAGAGTGATAATGGGGGTGAGTATAGTAGCACAGAGTTTGTAGAGTATTGTGTTGAACAGGGGATCAGAATGCTGAAGACGGTTCCAGAAACGCCACAGCAAAATGGTGTTGCAGAGAGGATGAACAGAACACTGAATGAGAGGGCCAGAAGCATGAGATTGCATGCAGGACTTCCCAAGATGTTCTGGGCTGATGCAGTGAACACAGCAGCGTACTTGATCAACAGAGGACCCTCATCTCCCATTGGTTTCAAAATTCCAGAAGAGGAATGGAAAGGTCGTGAGGTATCTCTTAATCACTTGAAAGTTTTTGGTTGTATTTCTTATGTCAAAGTCAGAGATGCAGATAGTGACAAGCTTGAGGCAAAGGCAAAGAGGTGTATCTTTATTGGGTACGGGTCGGATGACATGGGCTACAGGTTCTGGGACAACCAAAGCAAGAAGGTTATCAGAAGTAGAGATGTCACCTTCAACGAGAGTGCTCTTTATAAAGATGGTCTTGCAGCAGGAACAAGCAAAGGCAAGCAACCGGAAAACAAACAGCAAGTGGTGTTTGAAGGGATGACTGAAGATGACATAGCACAACCGGTCGGTTGTGATGAGACGGCTGGAGGCTCAGGGAGCAGTGGGAGCTCAGGAGATACAGGAATGTCTGAAGATAGTGGGAGTGATGAAGACAGTGGGAGTTCAGAGGCAGCTACTCCATACATCAGACAGTCCACCAGAATCAGGAGACCTCCTAACAGGTATTCTCCTTCAGCAAATTATCTATTGCTGACCGAGAATGGAGAGCCAGAATCTTACTCAGAGGCGTTGGCTGCGAGAGATTCCATACAGTGGAAGAAGGCCATGGAAGATGAGTTAGATTCACTTGACAAGAACCAAACTTGGTCCTTAGTCAAGTTACCACCGGGAAAGAAAGCATTGGAGAACAAGTGGGTTTTCAGAATCAAAGATGAAGCAGATGGGAGCAAAAGATACAAGGCCAGGCTAGTTGTCAAGGGGTTCCAACAGAAGAAGGGGGTTGACTACAATGAAATCTTCTCCCCGGTTGTGAAGATGACCACTATCAGGTTGATTCTTGGTATCGTTGCAGCTGAAAATTTACACTTGGAGCAGCTGGATGTGAAGACTGCTTTTCTTCATGGCAACCTTGAAGAAGACATTTACATGGCTCAACCAGTAGGTTTCCCAGTGAGTGGCAAGGAGAGATTGGTGTGCAAACTCAAGAAAAGTCTATACGGACTGAAGCAAGCTCCCAGACAGTGGTACTTGAAGTTTGACAGTTTCATGCAGCGGAATGGGTACACTAGATGCAAGATGGACCATTGCTGTTACTTGAAGAAATTCAAGTCATCATACATTATTCTTCTTTTGTATGTTGATGACATGTTGGTGGCTGGATCAAACATGCAGGAGATCA